GCCCCTTCGTCCTGGCTTCCTACCATCACAATCGCACCTTGACCAGCCTGGCCCGAGGAGGACACATCTGCCTCTACTTCGGCTTCGCCATGAGCTTCTTCGGCCTCGCCACCATGCTCATCCTCTTTGCCATGGCGCTGGAGCGATGCCTGGCCCTGGGGCAGCCGTACTTCTATGAGCGCTTTCTCAGCCCCCGCACGGGTTTGGTGGCCCTGCCAGCCATCTATACCTTCTCGGCGGCGTTCTGCTCCTTGCCACTGGTGGGCTTCGGACGCTATGTCCAGTATTGCCCTGGCACCTGGTGCTTCATCCAGATGCACCTGGACTACCTCCAGCAGAATGGCGGCGGGGGGGTGTCCAGGTCGGACATCGCCTTCTCACTCCTCTACGCCACGTTCCTCCTCTTCCTCATCCTCTCCGTGCTGCTCTGCAACCTCAGCGTCATCGCCAACCTGGCCCGCATGCATCGCCGCGGGCAGAAGACTCGTCGCCTGGCCACGCTCGAGCAGCCTCGTGCGGCCGGTGGCTGCGGGCGGCGAATGTTCTCCATGGCCGAGGAGATCGACCATCTCCTTCTTCTCTCCATCATGACCATCATCTTCGTCATCTGCTCCCTGCCCTTCACGGTGAGTGCAACTGCCTCTCCCCTGGGGTGGGGTCTCTCCCCACAGCACCCCTTGTTTCTCTCCCTTCCTTTATAAGGCTCCCCCCAAAACTCCACTGCCTAAACTTCAAGAGCTGAGGTCAAAGCTTAGCTCCTCCTGAAGCTCAGGAGAACCTGGGTCTGCCACAAACCCCAGGCAATTTGCACATCCCATAGGGAATTGGGAAAATAATCCCCTGCATCACAGGTGCTGGCAGGAGGATGGGGTGGCAAGATGATGGGATGGCAGAAGGACAAGGTGGCAAGATGATGGGGTGGGTTCCATGGATCCCACCGCATCTCTGTGGTTCCTGGGAGCCAGACACTAATGATGGAGGTGTGAGGGGTGGCAGAGCGATGAATTTGACATCCAAAGATGGGGATGAAGGAGATGCCGCTGGGCTGGAGACAGCTGGTATCAGTGCTGGGTGGGCAGTTACCCCAGGTTTCTGTGGTGAGGGGGGAGGATGGAGCTGGTGATGTGGGCAAGCAGCACCCACCTCATGGAGGTCTCCACCTCTCCATAACAACACAGGGATGCAGGAATGGAGATGGGTGATCGCTGGGAATGGAGATCTGGCACATGGACCACAGCATCCCTCATCCCAATGGTTGTGCCCGCATCATGTGCCCTGTCTGGGATTTCCAGCAGAAATACAGGGTCGAAACACTGCAGCCAAGTGAGGAAGGGGAGAGTGCGAGACCCTGGGCTCTCCTCACCCAAGGGTCGCTTTTCATCCATCCGAGCCATATTACACCACCAGCATCACGATCTTCAGGGCATTTTGAGCCACTCATGTCCCCTGACCATGAGCTCACCGCTGCAGGAGGTCATTTTGTTCCTATTAGACACAAGCTCCACCACGGTTGGGAGCACAGCCAGCATTAATTTTGTGTTCATGGAGTTAAATAGATGCTACCTTCCCTTCCTGCTCTCTTGCTTTTCCCAAGGGAAAAGAAAATAACCACCAGCTGTAGCTGCCAGGCTGCCTGGGTTTTAAGACAGAAAAGACAAAGCAGTAATGGCTGGGTGCTTATGAGCATCCCGAAAACTAGACTCAACACCCCAAGAGATGCTTCAGCTCCTGTCAATGGGCCCATGCATGGTGTGTGGCTCTTCCCGTGTCTCAAAAAAGCCTGGGTTTGGGCGCTGTGGTTGTTATAATGCAGGACCCTTTGGTGGGAACACTACAGATCTGGTTGGTGTGGAAGGGATGGGAAAGCGCGGCTGATGGGGATCCCATGGGCTCTGTGGTGGCAGATACAGCCTTATCCAGAAGTGCAGCCAGCTTTGCTTTTCCCATCACCCAGCTCCCACATGGGGTTGTTTGGGCAGAGTTTTGGCAGCGTCTCAAACCAAGCGGTGCCTCCTTGGGGGTGACACTTTCTCTTCTGGCCAGGGCTGCCCACAGCAGCCACCCTCTGGGAGCATCAGCCCACAGAATCCTTCCCAAAATAACCCCAAGCCCTCAGAAGTGCTGTGCTCTAGCACTTGGTCATCTCACGCCCCAGAATCCACCATCCTTGGGTGGTACCCTAAAGACCCCAGCTGGAGAAGGGATGCTCGTGCCTCCCACGTCACCATCTGAGCATCCCCTCTCCCCCAAAGTGAGGGGGTGGCGATGCAGCTCGCGTGAGTAAGGAGTGCTGAGTCACCCTTCCAGGAAGCCCCGTAAGCTGCTATGAGTCGGCACAATGCAGGAAGAACCCGAGTGGTCCAGCACCCCGCATCCTCTCCATCTTGCACATTTAACTGTCCCATGTGGTTTTCAAGGTGAGACCCACCACTTCCCTAAGCAGCTTAATTGCGTTAGGGCTAAATGAAGCCTCTCTGCGTATTGAGGTCAAAGCAAGGGTATGGCTTTCATTAGCAAGAAGTTCATTTAAGTGGAGGCAGAAAGTGTGCTGTGACAGCCCAAATTTCCCCAAGAAGATGCTTGGGGGCTGAATCCGGGAAGCCCATACCTGGTGTTATTTCTCCCTGTGGTGTTTTACAGATCCGTGCCTATGTGAACAAGTTCAGCAAGGGAGAGGGCAACCACGAATGGGACCTCCTGGCCCTGCGGTTTCTCTCCATCAACTCCATCGTCGACCCCTGGGTCTTCGCCATCCTGCGGCCGCCAGTGCTGCGGTTCATGCGCTCGGCGCTGTGCTGCCAGGTAACCCCCGCGGGCCAGGACAAACAGACTCCATCCCTCTCAAAGACAAAACTGGGAGCACAACTGCACTCCTGTGGACAGTAGAGCCATCAGCCACTCCAGGAGACATCTGCCAGGGGATGATGTGAGATGTTGAAGCTCTGCCTTATGGCCCATAAAGGACATATCTGACACAGGCTGGGCCAGGGACGGGTGACCCAACTGTGTGTCACCACATGTAGCCTCTGGAAGCCAGCGTGGTCAACAAAATACACTGGGACAAGATGGGAAGGACTGATGAGGACTTGGATGTCACTGTCACCCTTAGACGAAGCTGCTCCCACCCAGCGAAGGGTGCAAGATGCATTCAGCCACACTGTGGAAGGCTCAGGGGGTGAAACATGGGTGGCTTTGCTATAACACTACAGCTAGGGGGGTGTTGGGGAGCAGAGCAAGGTCCCCATGGTTGTTTAGGGAGTGCAAGCAGAGGGACGGGGTCTGGAGATGGGACTGGGTGAGCGCCGTTGCTGCAAGCACCCGTCGCTGCCCCTGGGGCCCTAGGGATGGGGTGGGAGAGGAAGGAAGCAGGGTATCCCCCAGTATTCCCCTTTATTCAGTAGGCTGGTTGCCTAAAATAATGCACCTTATCAGGTGTAGGTCTACGTGCATGTGTCTGTCTGTCCTCCACTCCCAGAGATTTTAGGCTCCAGTGCATGTCGGCCCAGTGTGTCTGAGGGGCAGAAAAAAGGCCAAATTGTGGCACTTCCATGCACATGCCATCCCCTCCGAGCACCTGTTTTGCAATTTTCTTTGCCCTGTGATTTGTGCAGGAGCCAGCAAGAAAAGAGACCAAGGAATGAGGGGTTTTTGTCACAGCCATGTGCTGTACCCATGTCCAGAACGATGCTGCTGAGGGGTTTTGGGTTGGCACAGAGGAGGCCTCGTCCTCCAGACCAAAAGCCTTTGCTCGTCTTCCCACCAGCCTGGGACAAACCTGCTCAGGGGCATTGCTTCTGTAGAGTTAATATGGATAAAAAACAAACCCTAAAAACCCAACAAAACCAAAAAACCCAAGTACAGAAACATCCAGGTCACCAATCCTGTGCAACGTCCTTTAGCGCTGTTATTTGGTTTCTGATTTATTTTGGGCTGGTTCCCACTGGGGTAAGAAGCATCCAAAGGAGCTGGGTTTGTCTCAAAGCCATTGCTGGCGTTTGCTGGGGTGGTCCCAGCTTGTGAGTCCCATTTGTGCAGCATCCAACGCACCCAGTGTTGTTGTGCTGTTGCAACTGGGGCGTCTCATTGCTCACGAGCTCTGCTCAGAAAGCCCGAAGGTGCCGAGATTCGGAGCTTTTCTGTGGTTTGTTAGTTGAGATGATGTAAAATAAAGTAAAATTAAATATTATTATTTAAGTAATAAATGTCTCTCAACGGAGCCTGCTGAATCATGCGTGGGTTTGTGCTGAAGGTGCTCCTGGGGGCAGATCTGGCTCCTGGAGGAAATGTGTCATCAGTGGGATAGAGTCTTGGGGTTGGGGGACAGGGCAGCAGGGGAGGCTGGGAGGTGAACTACATCCCGAAATTTCCTAAAAAGTGAAAATAAACTGGTTTTTATAGGTATGTGATGACATTTTTGCCGTATGTCTGCAACCCGACCCCAAAGCTCCAGGAAACACCCCACACCTCTGAGCTTATCCTTAAAACTTGTCTATCCCGAAGGCAGGGAGAGGCGGCCAAAAGCTCCTACCTGTTATCAAAATATCGAAATACCGACAAAAAAAGAAATTACCCGCCCTAAAATAAGGCCGAATTGATGTCACTCTTGTCAGGCAGCCAGGATCCACAGGAAGTTTACTGGGCCTCCGAAATGTGTGTGGGCAGATGGGTTGCTCAAGCCTTGCCGGCGCGGTTCTGGCAGCAGCAAACCTGCAGCTGGGGGGGGTGGCTTGGGGGGAAAGTGGGG